CAGGCCTACCAGCCCCCGACCGGAGCCCTAAGGCTCCACTGTTATATTCCTTAAAATCACCAATTCCCACAATCTCAGCAGGCTAGATTGTAGTATCTGGATACACCTACTTCTTGGAATCACCACCATCACCTTGCTTCAGCATTCAGCTACCTAAACTCTTATATATAGAAGTATTATTTATATAATAACTTGTCGATTATAGCTAGTAGTATTATAATATATATAAGGAATTATTAAAAGAAATAAGACTTATTTCTAATCCAATTAAAAGGTTATAACATTTTACTGTACGATAAAGATATGTCAATATGTTTAAGAGATTATATAATGTCGGATATAGACGGCGGTATTATATTTATAGTTAATAATACATAAAAACTTATATACCGTCTTTTTAATTATACTTAATATAACACGTATATAATAAGGATAATATAAAGTATGTTACAATTTTATTATATTAGAAACGTAAAAAATGTAATAATAACAACTGTGACGGAACGCTCATTATAACTACCATGCCACGGCTGTTCCTCCCAAACGGATGTCAAATATCAAGCGTGGCAGCTTGATATTCAATGGTGGTACGTGTACTCATGTCCGGGCTCCAACACTCACCACATAGGCTATGTGTACCAGACTATGACAACAACGTAAATAAATACGATTACTTTTAAATATCAAGTTACTATACAGCTTATTGTTTTTCTTATAATTAAATTGTATGTTTTTTTAAGAAGACTTAAATAAAATAAATAACGGGTATCATAGATTTATAATAGAAACGGGCGGTAATATAAAAACTGGATACGATGATTAAAAACTTATAAGGTATTTATCAACGTAAATACACATATGATTTTTAATACAAATAAGTGTAGCGGTTCTAGCTTTAACTAGTATAGAAATAGTAGTTATTCAAAAAGACGGCGGTAATTAATAAACTTGTGGGAACAGGCTTGAACGATCAATCATAATACTCGAGTATGGGGTCAAGGTCATGATGTTGCTGATGGTTGGATTAAGAAGTCTAGCTGGACCTGCAGGTCTGGCGAAGTGACCTCACAATCTGGTATCTAATCTCTTATCTAATTATACATGTGGGTCTTGAATGGATGGTTTGACTGTGAAATCACATGGATCCAACAAAGCTTATTATAAAATTAATATAAAATTAACGTTTTGATTTAAAAAATATATATACGAGATATAAGCAGTTATTATATTAAAAGAAGTTGTTAATCTGCTTAAATATTTAATCAGCAGTATTTGTGAATATTGAAATATAAATGTGTCTTTGATAAAAAACATAAAGATTAATAACATTAAAATGCCGGGAAATAAACTGCAGTAATATAAGAAAATAATAGGATTTTTATAATAATAAGCTTATTAAGTCTTTTTTTTAAAAAGTGGTTAAAGTTACGTAAATATGAAGAAAAATAAAGCTATAAAAAGTTTAAACCCTTAAAAATAGCAGCGAAAATAATGACAAGGATAAAATTGAAAAGATTATTTAATGAATTATTATAAGAAAGTAAGACATATATAGATACATAGTAAGATAAAAGGATTAAATTAAGCATATATTAAAAAGAGCAGCATAATAAGTTTTTAAAATAGTGCTAGCTTATAATAAAAAAGAAAAAGATAAAAGAGGTAGTAAATTATTAAAAGTTTTTAGAAATATATATTTCTTTATATAAATTATATAATTTACAAGTAGAAATTACAAGGGAACGGCAACTTTTCATCAGCCACCTAACCTTTTCATCAAGGCTTCTAATTGATCAACCAATGATAATGGCATTGCGTTATAGTGAATCAGACTTACAGCTTGCTGTCTAAGTTAAACAACACGTGTGTCGGTCTGACCTTCTGGAAGTCTGTCAACCCATCAGGGTGGCCTGTGCGCAGCATCACATGACCTGGCGCACAAGACGTGTGGCCACAACTGTACTAGGCTAGGTAATAGTGGGGCGGATGGAAGGATCGTTAATCCCACCAGAATGGGCTGGCGGGTCAGATCCTTCTTTCCCTCCCCACTAAGAGATTCTTACACGTAGGTAGTGCAATCAGGACTTTTATGTCCTCATCCTATTTACGCATCATGACAACACGACCCTCATATTACTATTGACAAACTTTCTAAGACTTTCTATGTCCCATATAATATCTTAAAGGCTAGAATTGCCGGCTGACTACCACAATATGATAACATATACAATACTTTGAAACTTATGATTTTTGAAAAGAATATTATTCTTTCTTTTATTCTTGATCCGAATATGCGAGCATTTCTATCCTAGCACAGTTATGTTAAAGACATAACAAATCAATTGTTGGCAGTATACAAGACTGGACGCATTAGAAAGAACTAAATGTATAACTTTATTAAACGTATACCAGGCCTCTTGACGTGTTTTCATTATAGCATGGACTACCAGAGAATCTTGAACAAAGATCTAGACGTGTATCGTGCGTGGTTTTGCTAAGTTACGGCAGCATTCACGAAACATGGTATCAAGACATGGATATTTATAACTTTAATAAGACTGGGTTTATGATAGGTATTATTGTGTCTGGCATGGTTATCATAAGTGCTAAAAGACATAACAGGCCTAGACAAGCTCAGCAAAGTAACAAAGAATGGTCTATAGCAATCTCTGCTATTAATACTGATGGTTGGGTGGTCTCGCCGTTTATTATTTTACAAGGCAAAACCCACCTTACGTCATGGTATCGCGACACAACATTACCACACGATTGGAAGTTGGCCGTGTCTGACAATAGATGAACTACAAATGAGATCAGTTTGAAATGGATTTAGCATATCAACAAGTATAACAAATTCTGGTTAAAGGAAAAGAAAGATTTGGAAATGCACCCAAATTGGTGGGCAGCTAGATATGGGCAGTCGTCCCCCACCAGACCCACCAGGGCATAGATCAACCTATCGTCCAATCAGTCACGGGCTCAGTTACGTGACCCGGGGATCATTGGGACCATTGCTAGACCTGATAGATGGTAGAACCATCACAACGGTCGTATGATTGAGGATCTCATCCGGTGTCATATAACCCGTGTTTTAAAGGAGAACTTCTTTACAGCATTTTGTGAAGCACATAACGCTGTTATGATGCCAGGAAACATCTGAGCAGGTTTTAGTGCCACTGGGCTTGTTTGTTTTGACCTAGAAAGTATCATTTCAAAGCTGGATGCTGTCGCTATTATATGAACACCGTCGCCAGACCCCAATCTGCCACCCACTACTTGGACTTCAAAGACGCCTACCACCATTAACAAAGCGGTAAACCAATCAGTTTATATCCAGAATTGAGTCAGAAACCACCAGGGAAGCTCACCTATATCAATAATTGATACATTGAGCTCATTTTTAAAGGCTATATATGGTCTTATGCATAAGGTCACTTTGATTGATTCCTAGGTCCGCAAGCTAGAGAAGGCCAATCACTTATTAAGTACATATTAGAGAACAAAAAACAAATATCTGGTAAAAAAAGGAGTACTTTCTGACCATAATACGCGAACTTGTACAATAGAGATAAAAACGTCTGAAGAAAGGAATCCAATTGATTTGATTGAATTAAATACGTTGTGATCAAATTATTTGGCATGTTGGTTGGAAGGTTGGTAAGAAGTTGCCGTTCGCTTGTAATTGCCGCTCGCTTGTCATCTATATTAGCGGATTAATTTGTTGTATTATAATAGACTTTGAAAAAGTATTCGGTCTTCAAGTTAATATAAACGCGGTTTAAGTTATATAATAGTTAAAATGAATATCACGAATTCAAACAACAACAGTTATTTATATGATTAAGTAAAAGTTAAAAAGTTAGAAAGTTTGATACTACCGCTGTTTTAAAATAAGGCAGCTCTATATAGTCGGATATATATATATCAGGTTTAATATTAAAATGTTTAAAGGCTTTTACATTAATTAAATTATTTTTACATATAAGATAAGTTAAAAACTAGCTAGTTAATTAACTAATTAAGAAACAGTTAGCTAATTGAGAAATAGCTATCTAATTAACTAGCTGGTTAATATAGAAGCAAGTATTTTAACTATATAAAGCTTAACATTAAAACGGGATGAAAAGCATTTATATGAATTAAATCGCTGCTATATATAAGGAAAGTTAAAAGCTAGCTAGCTTGTTAGACAGGTAAAAATAAACACCTAGCTAAGAAAATAACCAGTTAGTTCAAAAGCAGCTAGTTAGTTAAAGGCCGGGTATTTTAACTATATAAACCTCAGCGTTGAAGCGGAATTAACAGCCTTTATACTGATTAAATCGCAAGATGTTGAGCAAGGTAAAACGATTAATACGGGAAGTTAAAAATAAACGATAAGTGTTGAATACACGGATGTTGATGGATTTTATTGATTGTCTTGTTTTTATTCAGCGTACAGAGATTGATCATCTGTCTTCTTGGTGGGTCGGATGCCCTGTGCGTCTCTGCCCCACTGGGGATCTTCCGGTGTCTATTTCCGGCTCTCATTCAACAATAAGTCCTTTACTCGTTCCTTGTTATAAAGCTTATCTTATAAATATAAATGTCGGTATTAAATGCACCACCCCTCGTACACCACCTCCAGCAATCAGACTATAGTGATAATAACTCCGCCAGGTGTATAACAAGTAGTATGCCAGAATTTTCCAAACTCCGGACCATGCCTTCGTCTCTTTTCTTTTCTCTCTTTTCTTTTCTCTCTTTTCTTGTTCCAGCCACTGCTCTCCTCCTCCTCAACGAACTGCTTCTGCTCGACGTAGAAGCGGTCGCCGCGGTCGTCACGCTCGTTCTCAATGGCCACCTTACTCAGGTGCGTCAGGATGTTCTCCATCATGGTGTTATGGGCCAGCGCTTCTTGCGGCCCAGGTCGTCGAGGCTCTTCGTCTTGGTCATAGTGTGGTAGACGATGGCGACGACGATGACGCACGCGATCGAGTACACCCACTCCACGACAATAGTCACTCTTCGAGAGCTTGGTCGACAGCGAGGCCGGGGAGAGGCTCGCCGGCCCCGCCGCTGAACCAGCTGAAGCCCGCGAAGAGCGTCGCCAGGACGTCAACGCCGAAGATGGCGCTGACGAGCTGCCACGACTGCGTGATCTCGAAGCCGCGCGTCACGAAGAGCAATTCTCCTGGAGGAAAATGATCTCTTGGATGCCGCCGTGGTTCTGGATAGAGCGTGCCGCGGAGGACCCACGTGTCGAGCGCAAGCAGGGAGCCCAGGACCACGCTGATGATCCAGATCTTGGGCAGCTGCCACTCGACGGGGCGCTTCTCAAAGTGCGCTGTGTCGTAGGCGACGGCGATAGTAGCTAGATCGGCGAACAGGGCGAGGAAGACGATGAGGTCGGCGCGGATCGTCTCGTTGATGTTGATCATGGACGTGACTAGGTAGATCGCAGACACAGAGCGATACGGTACTGGATATGGGCCTTCATGCGCTGAAAAATTTGCCGGGAAATTTCGATTGCTGAGGCGATAGTACTGAGACCAGGAGCGAGGAGAACGATATCGGCAGCAGCTGGCGCCGCCTCGGTAGCGCCTTCAACGGGAATGCCGCAGTCGGACTTCTTGAGCGAGGGGGCATCGTTGACACGTCGCCAGTCATGGCTGTCAGATGACCGCGCTGCTGGAGCATCTCGACGACCTGGTACTTGTGCTCGGGAAACACCTCGCGAACCCGTCAGGCTTCAGCCCGCTCACAGAGGTCGTGCATCGCAGTGCCAGCCATGTCGCTGTGAAGGAGTTTGTCAGAGTTATAAACCTTGGTTCCGAGCGCCAACATTCGACAAGTCTCTTTGGCAATGGCAATGGCATCGCCAGTTAACATTTTGACGGAAAGACCAAGAGCCTGGGCCTCAGCAATGGTCTGGGCGGTATCGGAACGAAGGTGGTCGAAGAGCGAGATTATGCCGAGCATCTCCCAGGGGCCGTCCTCATCTTGGATGGCGACGGCGAGGGAGCGGAAACCGCTGCGAGAAAATTTCGTGGCCTTCTCCTTGAACAGGGCCTCCTGCTCCGCGCTGCAGTTGGTCAAAGCCAGGACAGCCTTGGGAGCACCCTTGGTGCAGGTGTAGCAGACGCCATTGTGCATAAAGACGGCAGTGATCCGCTTGGAGACGGGTCGAAGGGGGTGAACTTGTCAGTCTTCCAGTCCTCGCTAATCATGCCTTTGGCTTTGGGGTATCTCTTGAGGGTCAGAACGGTGATCTTGTCGATGGGGTCGAGCGCCTTGATGTTGTGCGACGAGGCCAGAGCGGCGACGGCCATCATCCAGTTGATGTCCACACCTTCCATGACGAAGGGCTCGCGGACGGAAAGCCGGTTGGCGGTGAGGGTACCGGTCTTGACGGAGCAGAGGATGTCCACACCCGCGAGCGAGTCGATGGCCGTGAGCTTCTGAACAATTGCTTTCTCCTTGGCTAGATATGCCGCACCGACGGCGAGGGTAGTAGTCGTGACGACCGGCAAGCCGACGGGGACTCCAATGATTAGGAGAATCAGAGCATAGGTCAGCAGGTTGCTGGACGACTCTTCGGGCAGGACGATGTGCAGGTTGCGGTAGAAATCACCAATCCAGGCAACCAGGATCCAGAAACCAACGAGAACGAGAAGGGTTGTGCCGATGGAGTCCATAATAGCCTTGAAATGACCAGAATCTTTTGTGCCTTGCACGAGAGTAGCTGTCTTGCCGACGCAGGAGGCCTTGGCACCGCAGGTAACAACACCATACGCCTTGCCGCGCTTGCAACCGGTGGTGTAGAAGACAGTGTCGGTCATCTACTTCTCGACAGCCAGAGACTCTCCGGCAATAGCGCTTTGATCAATGGCAACGATGGCATGGCCGATGTGTGGTGTTCTTTCCTCATCATCCTCTTCGAACTTCTCACGGCGCGGTGAAGTCACATCCTGTGCGTTGAGCTCAGCTTGATACTAGGCTTGTCCGTTGGGGTTATTATATTCGCAGATCAAACGGGCATCTCCGGCAACCACTTACCCGCCCTCGATGATGAGCTGTGCAAGTTAGTGTCTGTTCAGAATAAGGGATACCACGAGCAATATGAACTCACAATGTCTCCCCGGTACCAATTCTCTGGCCCAAATCTCTTGTTCCTGACCATCCCGGACGACGCGTGCCTTCATAGCAATGTCGCCCTTCAGACTAGCCACGACATCCGCTGCTTGCTTTTCCTGGTACCAACCAACGACGGCGTTGAGCAAGAGGATACCGATGATGATACCAGCGTCCAGCCAGTCCTCCATGCCGAGGGCGACGATGACTGCAACTTCCATGACTATGGGCAAATACGTTAGCCAGGTATGTCATCACACAAGTGAGAGTGCTCAAGACCAACCATAGAGAACCGGTCCACGGAAGAAGCCAATGAAATTGAGAAGCATGTTCCCCTTTTCAGAAGCCAGCTCGTTCCACCCAGTGAATTTCCGTCTCCGTTCAACATCCAATGTCGAAAGGCCATCTCTGAGATCGGTATTCAGCCAATCGCTCGGCGTCTCGATGTCACTCAGGGACGCCTGCGCGCAGCCGTTCTTGCCGCCTCGTGTTGAACGGGGCAAAAGTGGATTGTTGGCTTCTGTGCCATGGCCTATTTAACACCTCGCCAGAAAGCCCACCATGGTAATCAGGCTGCATGGTAAGTCAGCAAGGTGGGCTACAAGTTGGGGGAACTAGTGAAAGGACACACGCTCTGTACCGGTCCAAGTACGGGTTGTCACCGTGATTGTTTGTGTCGACATTGTTGTTTCTCTGGGTTTCAGTCAAGAAACTGCCAGTCTCGAGATTAGTAGGTTCCTCAATCGCTTTGCCGATGTAGCCAGGTGGCGCCATTTCTTTCTTGTGGCTGCTGAAAAGCTTCACCTTCTCAAAATTGGGTGCCATGTTATGAGTTAAGGTACAGTCCAGCTGTAGGGAAAGGAAGAAATGAGAAACAAGGAAACAAAAACGCGGAGAGGAGGGCGAGGTGGTAGATTTGAGGAAAAGACCAAGTGCTCAACGATGGGATGAGTAGTCGATACTTACACGGATTGACTGGGAGATAGATTAAGGACGAACCGACGAAGGCGTTACCGGGGAACTTCTGCAGGACAAAAAACTCCACATGATGTTTCTACCTAAGGATTCCTGGAGTCGGGTGTGCGATTTCTTAGAGTTGCCAGTGAAGCAACGGGGACTTTCCAGTTTCGTCCCCTTGACCCTCAATATGGTATGGGACGGTATGCCAATCAGAAGCTGAGATTAAAGTTGTATCGCCAGCAAGGTCCCTCTAACTAGCATCTACCAAGACTGGGGCGACGACCCGTTTCGAGTCAACGTCTACAGGCACTGGAAGGGTTCTTCTGGTGGTATCAAGCAAAGCGATGTTCAATGGGTGCAATCCTCGAATGCCTCAAAGAAATAGGTGACGCTTATCGATCCCATCCAGGGGTCCGTGAGTCCGCAACAGCGACGGTAAACATGGTCCCTGATCTCAGTTTCAGCATTGATTTGAGATGAAGCTGTCGCATTTTGACCTTTTAAGGGTGTCACGTGACCGAGCCCTTGCTACATTGCTGGCATATCTGGCGCCCGAGCACGAAGAGGGCACGAAGCACTGGCTAGTCTTGCAACTGGGCACCGTCAGGGACAGCATCGGGGTGACGGGTCTCTGTCCGATCATAAACATAATGGAACAGAAACACCTGAGCTGCCACCTCTCTGGCCCAAGGACACCTTTGTTGAACGTCACTGGTCACGCTTTTCGTCCGAATGCAGCGGTTGCCAAGAGAGGGGAATGAGTGATCTACGCCTTCACAAGATGACACAGAGAGGCAGCCGGCAGAGTCGTGGGATAATGATAGCACTTCTGCTGTGTCACTCAGTTCGTCGGTGTCTCATTAAACCACTCAACAGCATCTCCCCGTGAAACTCACGTCGGGGCAAGATATGACTCCTGTAATAATGTGGCCTGCGGGTTCCGCAGTACCACCGCGGTAGAGCTAGACGAATATCGGTATCGCCGCTGCGAAAACCCGGGGCACCAACATCATACTGCCGTAGGCGGTGATCAACGAAGTCTGGCCCGGGCCTGCCACGCCTGGACAGCCTTTCGCTAGCAGTTCAACGTATCAACCGGTGCTCCGAGGGGTTCGAAGAGGGTCAATGCAAATTGCAAATTGCGACGTACCTCGCCGGGCAGGGCAGCAGAGCAATGAATGCTACGCAGGGCTTCGTGCTCCCTGACACCTTGAGGCTCGAGCAGTTCGAGGTTCAGACACAGCTACCCCGAGCTCGCCAACCGAACATTGACGAGGGTGGTGTCGGACAGCCACTCATGAATATGACGGTGGTGGGCTGGGACGGGACAGAGTGGAGCCTTTGCGGATCCCGAGACCTGGATCGATGAAACGGAAGGGGGTCAAACCGCTACCCTTCTCAGCTACCTGGCACAGCGACAGCAAAGTCATGGATGATAACGGCAAAGGGCAGGGGCTAAGGCGTGTCTCACAGATCAAAAGCGGCAAAATTCAAGTTTTTGGGAGGCTTTCCACTCTTTGGCGGCGTTCTTGGCCAAAACTCTTGACTGTGAGATATGGCCATGTCGGCAGCCGTCCTCGGTACCGATCAACTTCATGAGCGGCCAGGAGGCTTTCTTGGACGTTAGCACTGATCCAACGAGAAGCTTGATACGAAGAGCTTCATAGTGCAATCCTTTGGGGGAGATCCTATCCGGTTGAACTGTGTGAGGGTGGACCATATCGTCGTGGACAAAGCATTTTGCCTCCCAGCCTCATACACCTTCGACTCTCGAGAGACCACGCCGCCACGATGCAATTGCCGCCCATGACCCTTGCACGATCCGCGACGGGCCTGGGTGGTCAAACCTCAAGAACCTGGTCTTGCCAAGATCGCAACTAGGTAGAAAATCAGCGCTGCGACTCGTGACGGTGCAAAACGGAATGCAAAACGGAATGCAAAATGAGCTTGCTTGGCTGTCTCGACGCGTGGTCACTATCTCTCATACATCGGCAGGAGAGCATGCCTCGCTAGCATCCGCAAGGAAGGTATGTCGAGAAGTGACAGGTGATCGGAGACCTTCGTGCTGAGACTTCTTCTGCTACCCGCGTTGGATAGTTGGGCAAGTGAGCGATTTGATCAGACACCCGTGGTTCTCACACCCGGTGCTGTGTCAAGTTCGAGTCCAGACTTACTTGAGAGATGGACACGTTGACGTTGGGTATTGGTAGCACAGGTGAAATCCCCTCCAGTTTCACCTGGACGGAGCCCGCTTTACCAATGCCAAGAGCTCTTGCTCTGATGGTAGTCTTCCCATCCCCGACGCCCAGCTGATCAACAGCTGCCTAGACTCGCCTCCAGCTGGCGGTACTAAGCCAGTAAAAGAGTTGATCCGGTGCTCCGCTTTCAATTCCACCCATCAGGCTTACCTAAGCTGGGCTCCCGCCTGCTCCACTTCCGTCACCCCATGCGATAAGATAAGGAACCAATTTTTTTTTTGAAGTGGGTGGTTGGCCATTGCCCGAATCTGAGAGCAAAGTGTCCCACGATAAAGTACCTAGAGGTATTGAGTGTTCGACCTCATTGACTCCTGATCCCCCTTCACCTTGAGGACGTCGCCATGAAGCGCAAGCTTGACGAACACGACCAGCCGGTTCCTGCCGCGCAGTCTGCGGAACCGGGCAAGAGCGAGACCACCAACGAGACCAACGAGACCACCTTCGCCGACTTTGGACTGGACTCCAGGCTGCTCCAAGCTGTTGGCCAACAGCTGTACCAGAAGCCCACTACAGTTCAGGCAAAGTCCATACCCCTGATCTTGGACGGAGGCGATCTGCTGTGCCGAGCAAAGACTGGTTCGGGGAAGACTGCCGCCTACTTGTTGCCTGTGCTGGAAAGTATCCTGCGGCGCAAACAGGTATGCCCTTAGACATGCGCCCCTCAGGATGATGTGAGGCTAACTGGACAAGGCATCTTCGTCTCCTTGCATATCAGCTCTCGTGTTAGTGCCGACGAAGGAACTCGCCGACCAAGTTCTGAAGAACATCGAAACTCTGTCCGCCTTTTGCAAAGATCTCCGCGCGATCAAGCTGTCCGAAAAGCTTCCCGACTCCGTCCAACGATCTCTCCTATCGTCGTCCCCGGATATCGTCGTGGCGACACCTTCGAGAGCATGTGTGACCCTGAAAAGCTCGGCGATGTCACTGGACAACCTCAAGTTCCTAGTCCTTGACGAAGCGGACCTTGTCATGTCGTACGGTTATGAGGATGACCTCTCCAGCATCGCCGGATCCGTTCCAAAAGGGGTACAGACTGTGCTCACATCGGCTACGTTGACTCCGGAAGTGGACACATTGAAGGGCTTGTTCTGTCGGAATCCTACCGTGTTGAACTTGGAGGAACCTGAGGCCGAGGGAGAAGGGGTGACTCAATACGTGGTCAAGTAGGTCTACATTACCTGGCACATTGTGTACGTGACTAACATTACCTAGATGCGGAGAGGACGAGAAATTCTTGCTCATCTGGTCAGTACAAAATCCCCCAATCCATGCCTCTAGTGATAATCATCCTACTTGGTACCCCAATCGGACAATCGCTAACATTTCCGTAGTACGTGGCCATATTTTTCTGTCACTGCGAAACTTGATGCCGTTACATGTTAACAGTTCCGTTCCTGGACTTGCAACTGACAATCAATAGACGTTCTGATCAAATGCCAGTTGATCAAGGGCAAGTCCCTAGTGTTCGTGGCTGATGTGGACAGAGCTTACCGCTTGAGACGTAGGGCTGGCTACCTTTCCATGATTCGTCGTGGATTTGGCTGACAGAGCGTAGTGTTCTTCGAGCAATTTGGCCTTCGCTCATGTGTGCTCAATTCCGAATTGCCGGTGAATAGTCGCATCCACATCGTTGAAGAGTTCAACCGAGGCATATACGACATCATTATCGCCTCGGATGATCAAGAAGCTCTCGGGAATGAAAATAGTTCTTCAACTCCGGGGGACAACGAAGAGCCCGCAGATGCCGACAAGGAACTTGGGGCTGAACCTCCTAAGGATGCTGACAAGGCTCCACCCAAAAAGAAGCATCGATCTTCACGATGCCAGGACAAAGAGTATGGCATATCGAGAGGAATAGACTTCAGAAATGTTGCTATGGTCCTCAACTTCGATTGCCCCAGGACCGCCAAATCGTACCAACATCGCATAGGCCGTACAGCGAGAGGAGCTGGACAGACTGGAACGGCGCTCACTTTCATCATCCCGAAAGAGAAATACCGAACTCACATACCCACCAGCGTGGAGACTGCTGAGAATGACGAGAAAGTTCTTGCCCGAATGACCAAGCAGCAAGTCGCGAAAGGGAAAGAGATCAAACCGTATATATTCGACATGAAGCAATTGGAGGCTTTCAGATACCGAATGAACGATGCTCTGAGAGCTGTGACGAAGGTCTCCATCAGAGAAGCCCGGACTCGGGAAATTCGTCAAGAATTACTGTAAGTTTCGGAACCAATCCTCGTGTACTGTCCACACGAACGGCAACTTCCTAGACTTATTGCTTACCCTTCCTTCCAGGAAGAGTGAAAAGCTCAAACGTCACTTTGAGGAACGACCCATGGAACTGCATCACCTGCGCCATGATCAGGAACTCAGAGCTGCGCGGACGCAGGCCCACCTTCGCCACGGTATTGTTAACCACAAGCGCCACCCCCATGATAGCCCCCATGTCTAATTGTGCAATAGTTCCCGACTATCTACTGCCCACGGATGGCAAGAAAGCACTCACTTCCACTAACATTGGATTTGTGCCAATGAAGAAGGTTGTCGACGGTAAGAACCGAAAAGGAAGAGGGTTCAAGGGCAAAGGCAAACGAAGCGGTGACCGCAAAAGTGACCCCTTGAGATCATTCAAGGCAAGGCCTAAGAGGAAGTAGGTCCATAGCCAGTGCGATGGTCAGCTCAGCAAGTACATGTTTTTCACATGATGGGCTTGCCCCTTTCACACTTGGCTGGTCCCTTAATGTCGTTCCTCATAGATATGATGGGCTTGACCCTCTTCACACTTGGGTGGCCCCTGAAGGGCCGCCTCGTTCCTCATAGATACCCTACTCTTACCAGTCCTACCTGTTGCAGTACTAAGTAGGCAAATGACGAAGAACAGCAGGACCGCGCCTTCTTGAAGCCATCGTCGCCGAAATCCATGTACTGATCTTTAATGACCCACCCCTTTTAAATTATCCCTTAAATATTTTTACCTCCGTGCCTCTCCCTTCCACATATATACTCTACTTTCACCAATCCTACCTGTTGCAGGTCTAAGTATGTGAATGATGAAGAACAACAGAACCGCACCTTTCCCTGGTCATTGTCCCCACAATCCATCTACCAACTTTTGGTCGTTCCCCATCCCCGCCTAATCTTCCTTTCTCGGAAGATCTTCACCTCCACTCCTCTCCCTTCAACTTCCTCATCTATCTACGCGTACCCCTCGTGTAGGGTGTAAATATAAGTTCTCATCCTCATCCCCGTCTTCATCCCCATCGCCGTTACCTTCTCACCTTTGGTGGTCACCATCACCATCACCATCTCACCTTTCGTGGTGTACGGCAGGAGCGGCGCCTTCTTCAAGCCATCGTCCCCACAATCCACCTACTAGCTTTTGATCGTTCCCCTCCCCCTTCCAAATCTTCCCTTCTTACAACCTTACCTCCATGTCTTTCCCTTCCACTTTCACATCTACCCACGCGTACCCATCGTGTGAGTAGGGTGTGAAGGGTGGCTCTCGTCCTTATCCCCACGCTCATCAGCATCACCATCAGCATCACCATCGCTATCACCATCTCACCTTTCGTGGTGTACAGCAGGAACGAGCCTTCTTCAAGGCATTTTCCACGGAACCCACCTACCCACTTTTGATGGTTCGTCCCCTCTTAAGTCTTCCCTCTTGCGACATCTTTACCTACATGCCTTTCCCTTCCACTTTCACATCTACCTACCCAAGCGTACCGTAACTAACTTTTCCACGCCTCAGGACTTGGTTGGCAAACCCAAGCGCACCACACAGGTGCTCAACCAGGGGCACCCATCAGGTGCTCATATCGGGCATCACCAAGGTGCTCGACAAAGGCACCTACCAGGTGCTTAACAAAGGGGCACGTTTAGTGCTTTGAAAAGGCATCACAATGGGTGCACAACAGTCCGCAGACCGGGAGCTGAACCTCGGAAGACATGTTCGAGACATGGAAGGACAAGTGTCTGCAGATGGCCCAGGGGCAGGGGCTTCGACGGGGCCAGGTGCGGTTGCAGCCGCTTTTGCTGGCGCACTGCCACGCTTCGGTGGGGTGGGTGAAGCCCAGGACACATCTTCACCCACCCCACCGCAGGACATAATTGAATTGTCCGCTGACTCCGACGACAATTTCTTGACTGCACTGAAGAAAAAACAAGTCACACAGGCTCATCAGCAACCACAACGCTCAACAGCCCTCATCGATCACCGACGCTCTACAAGCCCAACCACAAATCGATTACACCAGCTTCAGACGAAGACAACCCGCAATCATGGCTCCCAAGAAGTCTGGCCGTGTGCAGAAGATCAAGAAGTCTGGCCCTGCTAAGAAGACCAAGAAGGTCTTGACCCCCGAGGAGAAGAAGAAGGTATGTTTTGAAAAATCGTATAAGCAGGGGAATAAGCAGTGCATTGAGCATTGTTTAAGCGTTTATTCCAGTTTGCTAACTGCTTATCCCAGGAGCATGCTCTTTCAGACCGATACCATACTCTGGCCAAGGCTGTTGAGCGTGAGGCCCAGCTCTATGCCCTTTCTAGAATGAAAGAGCACCAGATCGCTAAATACACGCAACGATTCGAGCGCGCCCAAGAGCAGTTCATGGAGCAGCGACTGGCCGACAAGGATGACCTGAAGGCCTGGGTTGAGAAGAAGAAGCCCAAGGCCAAGGATTTGGGTGCCCAAGCCCTCGACAGTAAGCCTAAAGAGCTTATAGACAGTGAACCTAACGCTAACGGCCTATACAAGTTAAGAAAGCCCGCGCCGAATCTCGCGCTGCCGCGGAGTAACTTCATAGGACCGTACTCAGATCAGGTCTATACATCTGCTCGGAGTGCCTCTGGAACAGGTAGTGGTACGGTTATAGGACAGGCAGTGGCATCTGCAGGGCATACGGAACACGGAACAGATGAGAACCCCCTCGTAAAGTCAGGTTACAAGTGGAAATACGTTCTCCATTGCCCTGAGACTCCTAATGATCTCGCTACAAGTGATAACGTGACAAACGAGGCTATAAAGCCGCCTGAAACATTCGTAGACCGCGGAGAAGCTAACAAGCGCCTGGAGGAGCTCACCAGCTACGAGGAACTAGGCGGCATCGACGCCGTAGCCAGCAAGAAGGCCACCCTCGCTGGCCTCTTCAAGCTGCTGAACGTCGAGGTGACCACCAGCAGCGGCGAACGGCTTCTCTACTGGGTTGGGCGCGAGTTCGTCGACCTGCTGCGCGACCTGGAGAAAAAAGAGCGCCGCAGAAAGATGTGGTCGCCGCCGCGGCCGGCGCTGCGTCACTACATCGTAACGAGCGAGACGGTCACGCACGTCGCGACCGAGGAGCCGCAGCCGGGCCTGGGGCTCGAGGGCGAGCGCCCGGTCGCGGGCTGCTTCACTGGCGAGGTCCAGTTCGAGAAAAACCAGCCCCTCGCGACGTTCACGCAGCGCTCGCTCGCCAACAGCCACGCTTCCAAGCTCTTTCTACAGTGCGGCACCGTCGACGAGGAGTTTCACAACACGCTGGACTTATGGTGGTGGGAGCACACCGTCCACCCGCTCCACCGGGCGGCTGCTGAGGCGGCGGCGCGCCCGGGTGGGCTCTACGAGGCTACGCTGGATACGGGAGGGATGCGCACGCGGCTGGGCTTCGACAAGCTCGCCGTCACGGTCCACGAGGTGGACGACGTGACGGGGCCGCTGAACGTGTAGTATGGGGGGCGTTGGGGGGACGCCGGGGACGCTGAGGGCGTCTAGAGGGAGATTCGGTGGGATTCGGAGAGCTCTAGGGACAGCCAGGAGGCCTTACGGCGGCCTCGAGGCCCTGGAGGTGTCTACGCGGAGAATTTGCGATGGATTCTATTACTACACTACGGTCTCGTTGATTTCTGCGATGGGTTTGCGATAAATTCGATGGGATCGGGGCTGCTCTGGTCATCTGGGTCAGAATTGAGGGTTAGCCCTGACCTCCTAGTTACTGCGTATGCGAGACAACAGAGATTACTTTACCACAGGTGTCCCCAAGGGATTTCCAGATTCGTAACTGAATTCCTCCTTGAAACTGCTCTTGGAAGATGTGCCTAGTGAGCGCTGGAAATACACAGTTTTACGAGCCGCTGGGATAAGCAGCAGACTGGGTATTCATCCAGCGGTTGGATATAGGTTCTTGATCGCGAGGCCTGGCAATTGTTTGGATTAGTATCAGGCATCGTGATTCAACATGGGGTAAACGCTAAGCAAGCCGAAATCAGCACAGCCAGTGGCTGCTTGTTCCAGTGGTAAGGCTTCAAGGATCGCGCAAAAGATTTATTTTATTATTAAGCTCCTCTACCACCAGCGTCGCGCGATCTTGAGATGCAGTTCGGGGGGTCCAAGTTTCCGTGTCGCCATCCTAATAGCTCGAGTCGCTATACTACTAGCTTCCGCCCACAGTTCGGGTCGTGGCTTGATATCGTATGAAGTGGAAGGGGCAGGTTCCGTGCTTGTCGTTCGTCTGATCTGGGCAGCAGCACCGTTGTATATCTGGCCCATCCCGTTGCCAATGTCGTTCGAAGCCGTAGTATCAGCAGCCGCTCTGCCAGAAGCACTGCCATCGTTAGGGTTGGGAGTGTAACGAGGGCGGCCCTTCGCAGCGCCGGTCATGTCGTATCCTTTTCTTGACATCGTAATCGACCCTGATCGAGCTCAAGTTCTCCAGTGACTGCGAGGTCGGGCTCAAAGCCAGTGCCTTCTGCATATACTCTTGTGCCTTGTCGTACTGCTGCATCTCAACATAAGCCAGCACGGCTCAATGCAATGCTTTGATGTTTGCGCTCTTCTTTGTGTCGTCGCCTGGTACAAAACAGGCGCGGGCACCATCCCGAGATTGCTGGAAGCGTCCCAACTCGAAGTTTGCCGACGCACGGTTGTGTAAGGGCTGGCGGCGAACGTCAATCTCGTCGGGATTGCCGATGGAGATCCCCGTTGTCGAGGATGACGGAGATGGCGAGGTGTCTTGTTCTTCTTGTTGAAGTGGTCAGCGATCAAAAGTTGGTCTGATCAGAGGTGGTGTAATGTGGTACCGGTCTACGAGGATAGGAAAGCAGGCTTGGTCTATGAACCCTGAAGCAGACAGTATGCTCGTCGGTTCTTCAGTCCTTCACCAAGGGCTTGTAATACATACGACACTGGACAACTGAAAAGAGTCATTCCGTGCCGGAATAGGGTGAGATTGAAGTGACGGGCGGCTTACTCGGCGTCAGCGGCTGTGTGGGTGTAGGAGTAGCCTTTCGCACCGAGCAATGCCATGATGGCAACCCACTCCTCCCTAGTGGGAGGAGCCACGTCCATCATGGCTTGCAGCGCCTTGCTTGGACTGCGCGAGCGTTATTTACTGGCACAGAGAGTCAAAGCGTCCACGTGGGTAATTATCAAGCAGACGTACCACTTATTCTTCGCGATCTGGCAGAGCGCAATGCCCATGATCATTGCTTCGCTTTTGCCCTTGCGAATCTTCCTCTGTCCATCCTCCAAGCAGCGGCAGCGGCAGTGGCTTTCTTCGGGGTGCCGCCCTTCTCCTTGCGCTTGAGCTCCTGCAAGTGTTGTCTAGAAAAGGTAGAGATGTTAGTTAACTGCGCAGTAAAAGAGATGCAATGTGAAAGTAGAAGTGATGGTTAGTAGTACGCAGCGAAGGTCACTGGTCCTGAAAGTATAATCACAAGAGTTTAAGTCGTACATGGCTGCAGTATGAGTGTAGGTATAGCCCTTCGCTTGTAGCAATGCCATGATCGCCTGCCACTCCTCGAGGGTGGGAGGCGTCACGTCGATGAGGGCCTGCAGCAGGTCCGTTCGCGTCGTATCATCCCATACGGTGCGCGCGGGTGCAGCCTTGGGAGGCATGGTTGAAAGCTTCTTTAAATGGCGGATGCAAAGAGAGAAATAGCTGGGGATGGATGAGGTGGAAGTGGTGGGCGAGGTGTGAGGCGCATCGGCCGTCTGGATCCTCGGGGTCATTGCAATGCCAGGAACAGGTGGTCTGTCCTATAGTCTTTAACTCGTGCGAGATTCTTTTATTCTTCGTTTTTAGGTTCATCATGACATAACGATCATATCGAGTTCGAAGGTGATTTGGGTCAGGAAGGGACAGGGCTTCGTTGAGGAGTTCGGGTATATCCTTCTTGGCAAGTCTTGTGTCCTCGCATGGGAGGTATGCGAGCTTCGGTCTGGTGCCGAGTCAGCTTGAACCTAACATCCCAGCTATTAGCTACCAAATTAATACTTCTGGGCTGTCCAGTGGTGAAAAGCTAGGCTATTTGCCAGCTAGGGGTTTCAGGTAATTACGGGGAGTTCCGTAGAGTTTCAGGGGGTGAGATAGGTCTTGTTTACCTTGTTTGGTGAGCTGAGGGCCAGTCATGCGGTGCTTGCCTTTCCTGGAACACAAACCCTAATAGTTCAAAGCAAGCACAATGTTGGGTTTGGTACATCGTCACATGAAATCAAGCGAAAGTGCGTCTGAAGAACGTGTTATATCAAGTACAGACTAATATTTGCATAGGTGTCGAGCTTGACAGAAATACAGAAATAAGCTACGCAGCTATTGGAGCCATATATAGACAAGCTGGACCTGCTGCGAATTTTCCTGTATATTTCCCCTCAGGCACTTGATTTTGGGGATGGGATCGAGCAGGTGAACCACTGAGGTAGCTCGGGGCATGTAACCTCGCAGTACTGCATAGTACGACAGCTCGCATGACTACCTCTACCAGCAGCAGACCATATATAGTCGCATTTAGTGCACGCATCCCCTACAGCGGCTTGCTCTTTCGTGGAGCACCCACAAACCAACTACCAAATTTTCTTATCCTTCCCTGCACCATTAATTTTATCATTGATCAGATCTTCACAAACAGGTAGCCTGCTACATATCTGATTCACACAGGTGGCTGTCCTGCCACATCGTCCTGTGTGAATTTATGGTAGACATTTCCCCAAAGAAGCTGGATTTATGGCAGTCAAGCCTGAGAACGGGTGCCATGCTAACTTGTCCAGTCACAGAACAAAAGGTTCCCGACAATCATTCCAAACTTTCTACCCCTCCGTCCTTGTCCCTTCTAGACCTTCCTCAGTTTGTGCAACGTGGCACGTCAACTCCCCCGTTCCCAGCAGCACCTGACCATTCTCAACAGCCAGCTGTACTACGCCCACCGTTCATACCATGTCCAAGCTGCGTGATGGCGATCTTGACGTCAAAGACCGAGACCGATGCAGACGTCAAGACGGAGCTCAGGTCTGTAGCCTTTATATCCATCTGCTGGCTGGATCTGGGACTTCGACTGATTTTTATTACACTTTTAGGAAAGACGACTTACACGCCGGATTACTCGATTCGGCAGTGGAGCCGCAAGACAGCGACGCTGATTCGTCGCCCTACAACTAGCGCCGCTCCACGGCTAGCGTGATGAGCTTATTTGGACGACTCCCGCGCCTCCCATGCCCTCCTTCGGTCAGAACCCCTATTCCTCATGGAGGGATACATAGCCGTTATCATCCTATATATCTTTCTCGTGGTTTTCAAGTTTCACACTTGCCCTGGTCTCAGTCGCATGGGTCGCCTCTTCAAATTCTCCACGGCCCGACCATTTGCCCTTCAACCACAGACCGACGAACCCACCACCATCATCTCCGAAGCCAAGGGTGCAGCCAAGAGCTCCAAAGGCTTCCGGGTACCCGGCCTCAACATCCCCGATGTCGCAAAAAGACATGTACCCTCACACCCTCAGGTTGACCATGAATCGTGTTACCAGACGCGATCTCATCGCGTTGTCTGCCTCCCATCCCCTTGAACAGACACTTGACGGCACGGGCTTGTGCCACGCCGCCATGAAGAACGTCAAGATCTTGTCCTCGCGTCCCAATGCTGTTCGTTTGAAGACCCACGGAAACGGCGCTCTGGTGCCGCATGACTTCATGACGGTAGCTCAATGCTACACCATGGGGATCTCAATCTGCGGTCCCGACGAAATCGAGGTTCGCCGGTAACTCTTGCGCAACCGTGCGTCGGCAAACTTCGAACATGAAAATCACTTCAGCAAGAAACACAACCCCAACAATCAAAAAAAGCACCTTCTTTTTAAAATTATTTTTCTTGGCGCCCACTGTTAGTGGGTAGCCTACCCCAGCCAGCCATTACGCTAACAGACGCCTCTATCTGGCCAAAACACCAAGCTCCGGATCTCACGATCCTCGCTATGGCTTACCAGCCATTAGCTGCTGCCGTCCCTGCAACACCTCCCTTGGGGGACAGCGCAGCGCAGCGGCACCCCCGCCCCTCAGCTCAGCCGGGTGTCTGAGATCGCTCCACACGCGGAGAAATTCAACACGATGGGTCCCAATCCCGACGGTACTTTTAAGAAAGGATAATAAGGACAAGAATAACGCTGTCTCCGGAGCAGCCTCTGCCCCCATCAGCCTCTTTGCAAAGCCTGATGGTCTCAGTGCCTCCATACATGCTACCCAGGCCCTACAAGCCCTGCACCAAGCAGTAAATGAACGACGCCGTAAGGAGAAAATTCAAACAGATATCCTGGAACTCGTCGCCGGATCCCTCGACACAGTCGTCGCGACCGTGGCAAAGGACCCAGAACAGCTGGCCTACGCCCAACAGATAGCCACCAGCTTTTCCCAGTTCCTCCGCACGAACGTATTCGCCAACAGCGAAGGACAGGAGCCGGCAGGAACAGGACCCCTGCGCAGCAAAAGAGGTGCCCAAGCGCACCCCACCACAGACCCAACAAAGACCACAAACAACCCCTCGTACGACCCACGTATGCAGGGGTCACCACGAATGGCATCCAGCCCCAGGCAGCTGGAAACGGCCCTAAGAAACACGCCGGGACCAGACCGCCGACGCAGAAAGAAGACCTCCGTATCTTCATAAGGCTTCCAAAAGACCAGCTCGGCTGGTCGAGAACTATCAGCACATACGCCCTTCGGAAAACTATCACCAAAGAGCTAAACCTCGTGGCTTCCAATATGGCAGATACACACCGAATCCCTACCGGCTTGTCTCTTCAACCAAGGGATAAAACTGCACAAGGAAGGATCCTAGCATAAAAGGCAAAACTAGCTCAGCTCACAAAAGCCTCTGCAGTAGAACTACCCGTCAAGTGGCATACTTATGCCCTCTTGAACTGTCCAACTAGACTTACCAACATGGAACTTGAAGACGTGGATATCACATCAGAAATGACCCTAGATGAATACAAATTCCAGACCGGCCGCGGCCCGGTTAATGCACGCATATCAAAAAACGGTCTCAACGAGTCTGGCTAAGTCACATGGCTAGTTTTGTTCACTGAGAAAGTAGGAGCCTTTAGAATCTTCGGCCTCTATTCAAGGTCTAGGCTTATCAAGAAGAAAAGCCCTCCCTTATAACATAACCCAGGATGCCAAGGTTGGCACCCTACATGGCGGTGTGCCCGCCCTAGCCGCTGTGAGAGATGCGGGAAACCAGAAGACAAAAGGCACGTATCTCCATGCACGCTCCCCCCTCAATGTGCCAACTGCATGGGGCCCGAAATATCAACATATGCAAACTGCCCAGCCAGACCTAAGAGAATAGGAGGCCAGTTGGTCCACCCCTCAAACCAGGAAAGGAAAAAGCTCAGGAAGTCATATCTGAAGCTCTATAACAAAATAAACGCTATAAGGAACCCACCAGCTCCTCAAAGCCTAGCCCCGGTACTAGCAGCACCCTCTCAAGAAGAAACCACACCCAGCCCTAATATCCGAGCCATAGATAGCATCATAGTAGCAAGTATGAACACACCCAAAATCAACCTCACAGACGGTGAATCCACGTCAGAAGAGGGGCTAGACGAAGTCGACAACCTAGACAAGGAGGATACAGAAATAACCGGTCTACCCTCTCTCCCAAAAGAATCACAGCAGGGCACAGGATCCTCGAGGAGACCTCGCTGCCAGCAGAATCAAGTCGACTATACTGGTAATAATGTCAGCTCAGCCTTCGAGTGCCACTCAGACCTCCGGGACTAGGCTCCCCCGGGTCCCTAATCAGAGACAAGGCGGTCAGGGGCACCACAGACAGAGGATCAGTCCTTTCAGGATTGCTCAAGGAAATGTCCAGAAGATGCACGAATCACACGTGGCTCTCCTGCAGAACTGTTGCGAGGCGGACATAGACGTGGTCCTGATTCAAGAACCGTGGGTCAGTATAGATAGGAAATGCCGCTACAGCTCCCACCCCCAATATGACGCATACGTTCCGATAGACTATTGGGAGGGTATATCGGACAGGCCAAGAGTTCTGTCATATGTACGAAAAGACGCCGGACTCGAGACACAACAAAGCAGGCCAGCCCCGTCCAGAGACATCATCTGGCTCACAATAAACGGAGTCACACTTATGAACTTCTATCACCAGGGAGAGGAAGCACTAGACCTGCTGCTTGCCTGGCCACCTCCTGCCCACTGTGTAGTAACAAGAGATTTTAATGTAAACGACCCTCCTTAGGAACCAGGAATACCAAGAAGAGCCCGAGGCGGGGAAATTACACAATGGGCAGCAGAAAACCAGCTCTTATACATTGGGGAACCGGGCGTCCCTACACACGACGATGGGCACGTCCTTGACCTGACCTTCTCGAACATCCCCTTTGCAACCGCAGTAGTTAACTACGCTATACACGCAGCCGCAGACCACTGGCCACTGCAAATCACGATCCCATTCAAAGGGAGACAAAGAGTGGCTCAACAGAGATACACAATACCAGATGACAAACTACCAGAATTCTGTGAGATAATACGTATAGGAACCCTGCTACCAAGCCTCAGCTCCAACCCCATAACAGAAGAACTCGACAAAGCTACCTCTGCTATTATAAACCTCATCACGCTAGCCCTCAAAACCATTGGCAACAAGCCAAGCAGCAAGAGACAAAACGCTCCTTAGTAGGACGATGAGTGCAGGAAAGCAAAAAGAACGTACAAGCTGGCAACGAAGCAATTCGGAATAAACACCCCTACGGAAGAGAAACGCGCGTATCAGGCGGTAATACGACAGGCAAAAAGAGAATACTAGAAAGCCTATATTAAAGGCATACAGAAAGACTCAAACCTCTTCAAGATAATCAACTAGCATAAACTAGGTCCGGACATAAAATCACCACCACTAAAAGTCAGCAACTTAACAGTAGAGGACACTACTAAAAAGGCATATGCCCTCAAGACGGCCTTACTAGACAGGCATTCAGCCGAAGACGACCTCGTACACGACCCGTTAGAGATTCCCATCGCCCCCTGTGCTGCATTGGAATGGGACTCTGTAATATCGCCAACCGAACTTGCTAAAATGGTTCTCACGGAAAACACAGCCCCCGGAATAGACTCTCTCTCAACACGGCTCTTCAAAGCGGCATGGGTCCACCTAGCAGAGCCGATTCAGCTTCTATTTCAAGCCTGCTTTAAAACAGGGCACCATCCCACCCCTTTCAAGTCAATAGAGGTAGTCATGCTCAAGAAGCCGCGGAAAAAGGACTATACCACCGCGAAATCATACAGGCCGATTGCTCTGTTATCATGCCTTGGAAAGGGCCTTAAAAGGCTAGTTGCGAAACGGATGACAACAACAGCCCTACTAAGAGGGTTGACCAGCCCAAACCAAATTGGGACCCTCCCTAAGCGCTCTACGGTCGACCTTACTGCAGCAGTCACACACGACATCGAGTTAGCCCTAGAATCTGGGCAAAAAGCCCTTCTTGTCACCCTGGATGTACAAGGGGCGTTTGATGCAGTACTTTGCCGGAGATTGATCCTCAGGCTCTGCCAGCAGGGCTGGGCACCAGCCCTTATAAAATGGGTAGATTCCTTCTTATCGGACAGAACTGCTCGGATTAGACTGGAAGGCGTTACTACTAAGGTATTCGGACTGAGCTGTGGGCTCTTACAAGGATCACCAGCTTCCCTGATCCTCTTCCTGCTGTATATTATAGACATCTTCTTAGAGGATAAGCATAACAGATTCGGATATACAGACGACGTCGGCATCCGAATAACGGGCAAAACCACTACCGAGCTAGCAGCCAAGGCAGCTAGTATGGTAGACGATACTCTACGCTGGGGCCTAGACAACAAGGTCACCTTTAAAGACTCTAAGGCTGAAGCCATCTACTTTGATACTGGGAGGAGACCTCTCACACCAGAAATAGTCACGCCCTGTCAGATTTGAGCCAATCGTGAGGTTGAAGTGTGTGTGTGTATTCTGTGTGTATGGAGTGTCCTTGTGCGACCGTGGCAGTTTTGTGCCAGAGGGGGCTGGATTGGGACGGAACAACTAGGTTCCGTTGTCTACCTGTCAAGGTGCCCTCTGTGCTCACCTTTAATCCAACACCCCCGGAGGCTTCACCATCAAACCAGCGCAGCCGGTGAAAGGGGCAGTGGTCTGCTGGCTGGGGATTTTCTTCGACAGGTCCCTGAAGTTCCGGGATCATGTCAAAAGACGGGCAGCCAAGGGCCTCGTTGTGGCCAGACATATTCGAAGTCTTGCAAACACTGCTAGAGGGCCCCTAGCAGCAGCCCTCCGCAAGGCGGTAATTGCATGCGTGATTCCTACCATTACCTATGGGGCAGAGGTCTAGGCGGCCGGGGATTACAAGAGAGCAGAAAACGGTCAGGCCCGGAACGTGAGCACCCGCCAGAACGGCCACTCGGGCGACCTCGAAAGAGTCCTTATAGAGGCCATCAGAGGGATTCTCCCAGTCTGGAGAATTACACCAAAGAAGGTACTTTTTAAAGAATCAGGTCTATTAACAGTACAAACCATACTCAGCAAGATCCGGATACGGTTCAGCCTGAGAATCAGAGCTATGGATAACATGTATCCGTTAGTCCGATGTGTTACAGCCCGGAACCCTACTATGAGCAGAGGCCTGAGGGGTCTAGTTAGAATAACCGCAAGGAAACGGCTCCAAAGGACGTATAAACTCATACCGGATTTTCTAAGACTAATCCTAACGGAACCAAGATATGTAACGAACGCTGGCAAAGCTATTATAATAAGAAGCAAAGCCAAAGAAGCCAAAGTCTTTATAGACTGGCTAAAATTGCTTCCGCCTTCACACATAGTCACCTACTCTGATGGCTCGAAATCCCTGGACCTGGAGGGGGCGGTGGGCTATGGATACGTGATCTATAGAGGCCGGACAAACGTAGCCTCGGGCTGTGGCAGACTGGGCCACCAGCTGAGGTCTTTGACGGTGAGGTCGAAGGGGCCCGCCACGCACTCAGACAGGCCCTGAGGCTCAGCAGCGGCGCCACTATCCACGTGTGCCTGGATAATACAGCAGTGATCTCCGGACTGTGGGGCGAACCAGCTCAGAGCTCCCAAGAAGCTTTCCTAGAATTCCACGAAATCTCGGACACCTACGCCGACATACAGGTCCGGTGGGTGCCAGGGCACATGGACATCCAAGGCAACAAAAAGGCTGACGAAAAGGCAAAGGAAGACACCACCTTGCTAATCCCTACTGGGACCAAACCCACGCTTACGGGTGTCTTAGATATTCTTAATAAAAAGACTCAAAATGAACACCAGTAATAGTGGGACAAGAACATCACTAATAAATACAAAAGTCTCAGCCTTCAAAAAACTATACTCAAGTGCCCAGAAGAGCTCAAGCTGGACAGGCCAACGCTCCACAGGCTTATCGCATCTAGAACTGGCCACGGCGACTTTAGCTGGTACCATAGGAGGTTCAAGCACGAGGAACACTACAACTGCTCTTGCGGGAGAATCAAAACACGAGCCCACTTTGCTTTCTGCAATAAAGCCCTTACGAAACGGTCTAGGTGGCCACGAAGAAACCACGGACACAACGGAGAACTCGAACCAGAAGGGAGAGCCTATTGGAAATGGCTGATAACGTACCCAAAGGAATTCGAAGACTTCTGCAAGTGGACAAAATTCTATACAAAAGTCTGTCCCATGGTTACAGAACATCAATTCATCGACCACCAGGTGTAACTGCGCCTGTTACCACATCTCTTTACTACTCTTATCATCTTTCCTTATATTTTTATTTTCTTTTAGCTTATAGCCTTTTAAACACGAGGCACTAATTGTCAAAGCGAGAGGAGCTCCTCGACGCTATTCGGACTACCGACTACGAACCAGATATCACAGAGCATGAGCCCAAATGGCGGGGCCAATGGAAACTGACGGAATAACATGTGTGCCCTCGAGGTTCGATTTGTAGGTTATTGTGGGAAATAGGGAGTCATGTCCTGCTTCCCGTACAGTAAGGCTTGTATATTAGCCCCTGAGATAGTCACCTGCACGCCAAACATCCACAAGGATCTGGAGCCTAGAGCCCCTACGGCGTTAAATAAACTAAACTAAACTAAACAACCCCAACAATCTGTACCACAAGAAGCAAGGCAAGACCAGAGTGTTCAGATGCACTGTTTCAGGCTGCGACAAGGAGGTCGCTAGCTTCAACGCGTACCTGGGACATCAGCTTGGTCGGCATGGGTTCAGAGGAGCCGGAAACCAGCTCTGGGCGGACAAGGTCTGATGGGGTCAGGTCGTCGACACGGGTCATGTTGCCGTCCACACACCAGACGCAGAGATGTCGGCCTCACCTTGCCATGCAGGTAAGTACCACCACACGGGTCACTGTCCAGTCGTATTCAAGTCGCTAATCTGAGCAGACTAGGATCCTGCAACGCATAAAGAGCGCGAGAAGATCTGTAATCACTGCGTCATGTATTGCATTCGGGTACGTGATCCCCTGTCGGATACGGCTCGTTTGCGGTGTGATACCGGTATGGATGGAGGGCAGTTCAGAATGTGGCAGTAGTAGGACACGTTGGGCGAGAATTCAGGTGTAGGACACGTTCGGCGAATCCTACCCGAAGGGATGTCCGCGCCAGCATTGGACGGGTTGTGCATGATGATAGCCCTGCACGCTGTAGCAAATAGACATTTGCTATGGGGGCCCCTTTGGTGTCAGAACGGGGCTGGTGGAACAGCGGCGGCCAAGAGAGGAAGCCCTCGCGAGGATTGACAACATCGAGGAGAACGATGACGTCGACGATGTCCCTCTGATGTCCGAGGGTACTGCAGCGGATGCCACCATCAGCCGTGACGTTAGACAGTCAATAGTCCTTGACGGCGAAGGCGAAGGTCATGAAGAAATACCTCTCATCCATCAGGCACCAGAAGCAATGATCTCAAGAGGCTTTGGAGAGACAATCATCCTCGATGAGGAGGAGGTGTTTGTTCCCAAGGAACAGCCTACCGTGGCTGCCCAGCATCGTTCCAAGGACCAAGATTGGTACGACCAACAGTGGTGACTGACTACATAGACAGGGCATTCATCCCCAGTGCCTTCAGATAGACCTTCTTCTTCATCTAATACAATGTATTCACTCCTCATAACTGCGTTATACTTTGAAATTTGGGACTCAATGTCTCACAGTTAGGATGATTTCCTTCGACTTTTATTTCCCTAGGTTGTCAACTATATCCGCCCACCCGCGCGCCACAAGCTGCATCATCACCTTTCCTTGTAAAAATCATCCGTGCGTTTACACTTGTTAGTGTATTTGCGTGCAGCATAGTAAAACCTTTAACACTTGGTATTGAGCCGTAATCTCAGACCTCAACACCAAGGCCAGAATATCGAGATCTGCCTCGTTCCTTACTAAGGGAACGAACTCAGTACTCGCTGATAGCGGCCCTTACAATCCCCCAGCGACCTACCAAAATCGCACCTGACGCTGCTTAGTTCACACAAGAACCTGAGGAATTCGATCAGCGGAACAAAAAAAGGAAGCCTGACAATGTCCAGGCTCCTACAATAATTAACTTCACTGGAAAGCCCGCTGCCTGAAATAATGACATTGCTACTGTTGGATCCATGCGATTCCAGACTGCAAATCATCTATACCAGGACCCACATGTATGATTAGATAAGATAAGATAGTGGATTGAGAGGGCACTTGGCCAGACCTTCAAGTCCAGCTAGATTCCTCTCAATCCAACCATCAGCAACATCATGACCTTGACCCCATACTCGAGTATTATGATTGATCGTTCAAGCCTGTTCCAACAGCTACCAACATATTCGCACCTTACCTAGAGTACCTCGAGCAACAAGCCCGCATCAAATGAACGGTCTTAAGACAGTCTGCCGGCTGCCTGGACGACTTTGTGGGCTCTTATAATAGATTATAACAGTCCGAATACAAGAGGGAGGCCCGTTTAGTTATCAAGATGATCTGTAGTCACTTAAATGCTGCTATCTTTTTAAATACTAATGGTACCTTTTATGCACCTATTTGTGTTAAATGTTCTGGGCCTATTAACACTACCAACACCTCGAACACACCTGGGTAAGACCCTGGGGGGAAGACCTCCAAGCAGGTCTCCTGGGCGGGAGTGGCCAAAGCAGGCCACGCATCTAATTCAAAAGGCAGCGCTATCACCCATACTAGTGCCACCCCCTCCGCCCGTACGTCCCGCCCCGGGGCCTCAGCGTCCGCCCTAGCCAGGGATGAGATACGAATCTTGATACGTTTAGATAAAGATCGGCACATACAAAGAGAACAGTCTTTCACTCTACACTCTGCAATCTGTAGGGAATTGAAGGACCTTGGTCTTGGCCTGGCTGACGTGCCAGACATCAGCCCGACCAACACTGATTCGTCTATCAGGGTGGCCACCAGGCGGATCAGGGGAACAGCTATTGGGGCCGGAAACAAAGCTTCGTTTAGGAAGAGTTACAAAGACGCCGTAGCAATGGACGTTCCAGAGCGCTGGTTTATATAGGTGGTGCCGGACATCCCCTGGAACTTCCCTGACTACATGAACGTGGGCGGCCACATCCAGACGCAGAACGTGATTAAGGATGAAGTGTATACTCAGACAAAAGCACGCCCTGTCAACTACAAGCTGTCAAGGCAAGGCCTAGATCCCATTACAGGCAGAGGCAGCTGGATGATCTCTTTCCTGGCGCCTGTGAGGCCGTTCAGCCTCTTCAATAACAGTGGCCGCTCAAGGCTGGTTAAAAAGAAACCCGCCATTAGCATCCATAACCCAGGATGCCAAGGGTACTGCCTGAGCAAGAAATGTAACCGAGCCCCTCGTTGCGGGCATTGCGGTGACCGGCTCAGCGAGCATAACCTCGACAAGGAGTATGACCGATCTGTATGCTGTGCAAACTGTCAAGGTCCCTTTCTTACAGGGCACAGTGACTGTGGAGCTGCCCCCAAACAGAAGTATAGAAAACTGGTACACCCTACAAAGAAGCAGCTTGCTTCCATCCGGCACGCCGGAGCAAGGCGATACCAAGATCTTCACAACCCAGGGGAGACAAACTCCGCCAGCACAGATAATCTCAGTCAACAACGGATTGACCCGAGCCCAACACCACAAGGCGATACCCCACAGGGCGACCTTATACAGGGTGACCTTACACAGGGCGATTCTACACAGGGGAGCACCTCCCAGGACACCATCTGCGTCAATACCGCAGACCCAAAGCCTAAGGGCAAGGGGAGGAAACAAGCCTTAATTATAGGCTCCTAACCAACTCACACGCCATCCAGTGCATTGAGCACGTCTGGGTCTTCAGGGGGGATTAGCCTGGACTACCCTGTTCAGGTAGACACTGAGGGGGACGTTGAAATGACATCAGCAGGACCTTCCTTACAGACCTCAGGCAGGCCTAAGATGAGACAAGGCTCCCAGCGGGCGGCTGTAGCAGCAGCTCCAGCCGGCTGGAACCGCGTGCAGCCCAAACTCCCTAAAAAATGACAGAATGCCAACATTTTGGCAGGGGAGGGCGTCGCAGATGTCGCAGGCACCGCAATGGACGAGGCCCGCCACACAGGACACCGGATATCACGGTAGCCTGGTACAACACGGGCAAAGGCATGCCTCAGCATATCACCTTGCTCCAGCTGTGCTGCGACCGAGGGATTGACGTAATTAATGTCTGCGAACCCTGGACAATAAAGGGCACCAAGACACAAAACCACCCAGGGTACGAATCTTATGTACCAATGGACACCTAAAACACGACGGAAAATCGCCCGCAGGTGATGACTTACGTGAAAAAGGGGCGTAAGCTCAAGGCCCAATAATGCCGACCTATAGCCTCAAAGGACGCAATATGGATTGACGTAAACGCGTATTCGTTTCTTAATATCTACAGGGAACCTTGCACTGACCATATGATTAATTACTTACCAGCCTATAGCCGTTGCTTAACCTGTTCATAGGGGGCGACCTTAACATACGCTATCCAGTATTCAAGTCAGGGACAGAAGGCAGAGACCGGGGCGCTGACGTGGCATCGTGGCTTACTGACAGCAGGATGTACTTTACTGGCATCCCAGGCCAAGCTACACACCGTGGATGTACTTTACTGGCATCCCAGGCCAAGCTACGCACCGTGCTGGGCATGTTCTAGACATGGCGTTTACTAACATACTTTACGTTGAGACTGAGGTCTGTGAATACCATCCCCCCATAGAAGTCGGACACCCCCACTAGTCGGACAGCCAAACCCCACCATCACCACCAAAACACCCCTTCATTCACAGAGATGTAAAAGAAGTCATTCAGATCAGAGAAATTCAGCAAAATTATCATTCGAGAGCGCTGAAGCTGCTCATTTGTACAATCTAGCAGGCGCCCGTATTGCGCGGCCGGAACGTGTCAACCTAGGCTGCTGGATGGCCTCCAAAGCGGCCTCTTCAGGGGCTTCATCCTCATCTTCCTCTTTATCCTCCGACTCAACAATTATCTCTTCTTGTACCTCTACAGGCGTTTCAGGACTAATGGTACCTCCCTTAAACAAGATCTATGTCACCGTTTTAAACTTCTTGTTAGGGTTAGGGATCTTTTGCCGCTTCTTGGGCCGTAGCCGCTCCAGTTCAGCCTCCAGGGCTTTGATCTTCTGGGCTTGGATGATAACTTCCGTCTCCTTGGTCTCGAACGCGTTGGCTATCTTCCTGTACTTCAAGCGGGTGCCAGGGGATTTATTTTTGCCGAAATCCATGATCTCCCGACTTGTAGTAGGGGTCCGTTGGTCCTCTGGTTCAGAGCTTTCAGGGGTCTCAGGCTCAGGGGTCTTCTGCTTATCTTCCTGGATTTCTGGATGTGCTAGGTACTTCCTGCGGCTGATTGGAAAACATCCAGTGGTTCTGAATCCAGAGAGGATGTTTGCCTTAGTAAAAGCAGAAGTTCTTGCTTGGCTATAGCACCGAATGAAGTTGATCTTGTTAACAGGCGAGGCATCCATCAAGGAATTCAGCTGCGAGAGCAATTTCTGGTAGTAAGCCTTCAGGGCGTTATAGGGCCTGTTATCCAGGGGCTGCATGCCATGACTGGTGTGGGCAGGGAAGAAACAGAGCAAGATGTTGGCGAAATAACACATGGTCATAAATTCGTCTTATTACCACGCGTTAGCCCGGATTAATTCCAAAAATTTGAAGGAAGTCTAAATAAAATAAAATAAAATCATATACGTACAGAGGTGTGGCTACCATAGCCATCTAGTATCAAAAGAACAGCCTCAGACTGATCTTTTCCTCGTACCTCGTCCACCTGTGGGATGAACACGTCTTCTAACCACTGGCAGGCGATGTCATTGGAGGTCCAGCCGTTTTCTGAGCATATAAAATGTCAATCGGCGGTTTTTCAGAACTCCTCGATAAACCATTGGACTTGGAGGTCCTTGCTTTTGAAGATAATGCCCAGTTTGAGGATTTTTCTCGTGACTGAGATGGCCTCGATGAAAGAGGTCCAACTACGGCTCTTGGGGCTCTTCAGGAAGGATTTCTTGGTAGCAGAACTACCCAGAACGAGAGAGTCGATACCTGTGAATACAATTAGAATTTTTTGGAATTAAAGAGGTAAATAGAGCTACCATAGCCCGCCATAATGCCGCCCTTATCGACATTATACGTGTTCTCTGGCTTCACCCAGCCGTAATCCTCGAGAATTTCGAAGAACCAGTTAACTGCTTTGGGCGTAAACCCCTTAAAGCGCGCTGATCCCATCCTTTTGCCAATTTTGGTCTTTATTTGAGGGTTGCGGCGCTTGAAGCCCGTGATAAAGGTGTCTCCCAAAGGGCGTTCATCTCTCTTCTTTTTCAATAACTTTGTGACAATCTCGCGAACTAGGGAGTGCGAAAGGGCTAGTCCTAGCTTCTCCTGACGCAAAATCCATTCGACTATAGTGATTTCTTGAGCAGGGGAGAGTCTCTGTTGCTGTGTGTGGGCTTCGGCTCTCGTAGGCTTGCCGTTAAGTCGATCAGACAGCGTTTGGGGAGGGATGCCGTGTT